TACAGGGCCTTTCTAAAGATGACAATCTGTAAGGAAGGCCTTGTTTTTTACCACAAAACAACAAATTTAAACTTGGTGACCTTGGTATTTTGGGGGAGATTTTATTTGTTTGCTTGGGGCATCTTCTGACTCCTGCATTTTTTTTTAACTGAGTAAATGTTAAATGCTTTTAAGTCCTCCTGTCATGTCAATAAAACTGTTTCATTATTCTTTAATGAAACCAAAGAGCAGAAAAAACATATAGTCCAATTCCATTAAATTACATTAACTATCACCCTAAAGTCATCCACCTGGTTACATTCTAGACTAAACAAGCTTCCTTGTGTGACTGGACTACTGCAGTAGCTTCCTAACTGGTCAATTTGTTTCTACTCTCTAACAAACTCTCAAGGAATTCACCATTGCAGACAAAAAAAACAACCCATCTCTTTTCCAATATTATGAGATATTTTGATCTGATTTCCCACAGCTACTGCACAGACTCCATGTCTTACTCTTCTTGTCCCCAGAATCCTCAAGCCATATGACTGTCCTCCAACTATGAAGTTCCCCCTCACATGAAGTCATCTTTCCCCCTGCCCCTGGACACTTTGCTCAGATCTCCAGATGACTCACTCCTCAGCATCACTGAGATCTGAACTAAAACGACAACTTCTCAGAAAGACGTTTCCGGCCGGGCATTGGTGGCATACACCCTTTAATCCCAGCACTCGGGAGGCAGAGGCAGGCAGATCTCTGTGAGTTCGAGGCCAGCCTGGTCTCCAGAGCGAGTGCCAGGATAGGCTCCAAAGCTACACAGAGAAACTCTCTCTCAAAAGACCAAAAAAAAAAGAAAAAGAAAAAAAGAAAGAAAAGAAAGAGAAAAAGAAAGACATATCCTAATTATCTATCCTAGTTTGCTTTCCACTTCTGTGATTAAAAATAAATTGATAAATAAGACCAGAAACAACTTGGGGAGGAAAGGAACACACACAACTTATCATGAACCTTCAGGGGAAGTCACAGCAACAAATGAAGGCAGGACACTGGAGGCAGGAATTGAAACAGAGACCATTTAGAAGAGGGACATACTGACCTTGCTTTCCAAGCTAGTCCAGGACCACTTCCTGAAGGTGGCACTGCCCACAGTGGGCTGGGCCCTCCCACATCAATCATTAACCCAAAACATGCCCCCACAGACTTGCCTACTGACCAAATGTGGCATTTTCTCAATTGAGGCTCCCTCTTCCTAGATGATCCAGTTCGAGTCAAGCTGACAAAAAATTAACCAGCACACTACCTAAACCAAAGTAATGTCTTCCTCCCCTCCTCTACATTGAGTCACTCGGTTTCCTTCAGAGTGCCTATCATTTTAAATTACATGACCTATCCGTTCATTACTACCCAGCATCACCACTGTGAATTCCATAATGGAAAGAATTTCACGTTGATTAGTGCTTGCATTAGAACAGGGGCTGGATCATGACAGGCTCTCATTAAATAGAGAGATTAAATTAACCAAAGTACGGTGGTATTAAAAAATCCTTATCTGCTATATGTAATTCAAAGCCCTACTCTGAATAAAGAGAACTGACACCTTCTTCAATAGTGCTTTTATACATACAAACATACATACATACATACATACACACACACACACACACATATTTCCCAGGAAAAACAGGTCCTGCAGAGACTGGCTTGAGCACATATATAAAGTCAGAATTTTCAACGAGTTCTATAATAAAAATGGTCAAAATGGTCTGTGAAACACAAGTTTTAAAATATTTTTTAAACAGAGTTCTAAGCAAAAGTCACAATCAACTTCTTATCATGCAATGAGCATGGCTGCAAATTCAGAACGAGGTCTTATTGTCTGTTTTTTAGTTGATTTGGTTTTTCGAGACTGAACGCTTTTCTGTGGTGGCAATAGCAATACAAAAAAGATGTTAAACGAGAGTAGGAAATCATGAAAATAGTTAGTGATTCATAACCACTCCAAATAGCCTCGACAAATATCATTTGTTAATGTGTTTTGTGTTTTTTTTTCTGTACAAGCAAATGTACATAGTGTGTACAAATGTACAAAGTCTTTCTGAGGGTAGGATCAAGAATCTGATTTCTAGCCTGGCAGTGGTGGCGCACACCTTTAATCCCAGCACTCAGGAGGCAGAGGTAGGTGCATCTCTGTGAGTTTGAGACCAGCCTGATCTACAGAGCGAGTGCCAGGACAGTCAAGGATACCCAGTCTTAGAAAGAAGAAAAAAATCTGATTTCTGCCAATCACACTAAGGAATGAAGTTAATCAAAGTCCATATTCTGAGTGTTATTTTAACACACCTAAGGAACAAAGAAACCCGATCAATGCTTTAAAAATTGTTAGAAATAGCTGGGCATGGTGGTTCACACCCACTACTTGGGAGGCAGAGGCAAGCTGGATCTGTGTGAGTTCGAGGCCAGGCTGGACTACAAAGCCAGTTCCAGATGAACCAGAGCTACAAAAAAAGACCAGCCTGTCTCAAAAAGGAAACAAATGGTTAGAAGTATATACGCATAGTTCTGTTTAAATTCTAGGATGTCGTAGACCACAAACTGAGTTTCTAAGGTTTAAGGAAAATCTTGATCCTTAAAACAGAAGACACAAACTTGAAGGAAACTCCTCTGCCTTTCTCCAACAGTCACCTGGGGAGAGGGTGGGGTTAAGAGATTAACCGAGTAAATCCTAAAACTAACAACCGGGGCATCTGCTCAGCAGCCCGTCACTGAGTGTTGCCAAGTTCAGAGCAGAGAGATGCTAAAGAAATGGCTGCTGTAGAGATCGAAGCAACTCCGTTAACAGTCGAGGCGACCTGCCACTCCATGTACACGCTGCTAGTTACCGAGGGTCCCGAGTGGGCGGACTTCCTCGGGGCTCTCACAAGCAGTCCGCAGCACAGGCTGAAGCCCCGTCCTCCGCCGCCCCGGCCCTGGCCGCTGCACCTCCTCCTTCCAGCGCAACCAGGCAAAGAGTTTAACTCACAGCCTCACCTGCAATTTCTGCAAGACCTGCTTCGCTTCTTCCTCTTCATCAGCCATCATTCCAGCCACTGTCGGCTTCTCCTCCCCCAACTTTGTAACCACAGAGACTCAGCCAATCTCACGATGAAACCACAGCGACACCTAGGGTTCTGGAGGCCCACCTGTCCCTGGGAGACTTGGCTTAATCCAACCTCTTTGGGCGTTTGTTTTGCTTTTTAGATCAGACTGACCTCACTGTGGTTATGTAGTCCAGGCTGGCTTGGACAGCCCGATCCTCTTGCTCCAGCCTCCTAGCTGGGATAACAAGCACATACGGAGTTTGTGATCACTTTCAGTTTCATAAACTTCCTTCCCAAATTCCAGAATTAAAATGTTCTTATATTAACTATATTCAAAACTTTATTTTGTATTTTCTTGTCCTTGCCTATATCACTCTTAAAAAGCAAGACCGGTTATCAATGTATATGTGTTGGGTGGTATTTGGAAGGGAAAGCACTACAAGGCTAACTTGTCTGAGTATTTCCCAACTTGGAAGATTTCTACATGTATAACTTTTAGCATTTTTCAATGCATTATCCTAATAAGTCTACTATGTTTGGGCTGGCATGCCACCATACTGTACATTAATGATGTTCTCATATTCGTTATTTCCAAAAGGAAACATAAGAAAGTCTGGAGAAATAGGAGAGGTTGAGAATTATGGGCGACCTGAGAAAACTCTTTTCACTGTATTTTCTGTTTTTTGTTTTCTTTTTAGCTTGAACATGAATTGCTTATTCAAAAAAAAAAAAAACATGTTAAGTCTTCTGCTTGTTTTGAGGCAGGGTCTCATGTATCTCAAGCTGGCCTGGAACCAGGGTGGCCTCAAACTCACAGAGGTTCTCCTGTCTATGCCTTCTGGGATTACACACATGCATCACCATATCCAGCTACATTTAAAAAAGAAATAGGTCATTTGCTAAAAGACAGTCTCTACAAGGAAATATTAGACACTTCCAACAGTAATTACTTCCAAAGAGACTGAGTAGCAGAAACAAAGAAGAGATAATTTCCCTCTGTGGTTTTTGTTCATACCTTTAAAAAAAAGAAGCCCCCTCCACCCCCCAAATAAATAAAGCTCACTAAGTTAAGAGCACTGGCCGTTCTTCTAGGGGCCCTGGTTCAATTCCCAGCATTCAAATGGTCCCACACAACCATCTGTAACTCCAGTTCTAAGGTCTCTCACACTGTCACATAGACATACATGCAGGTAGAACACCAATGCACACAAAAGAAGAAGAAATAAATCATAAAAATGAATAAAAATAAAAAGCCTGCCATGCAAATTAAAGTCCTGAATAATTTTTAAAGAAAGATTATTCCTGACAGCTTATATTTTTAGTTTCAACTATACCCTGCTTATATTTCAAACTGCTCAAGATACCTATTTCCTCATACCCTTTTCCAACAAAATTGAAAACCTCATAGGAAAAAAATTCATACTATATACTATAATCTGTAAAATGTATTTCATTAGCAATACTTCTAATGAAGCCTGCAATCTCAACACTTGGGAGGTGGAAGCTACCATAAAACTGTTTAAAAAGAACCAAAGACAGTAAACTCGGTTGTATAAAGCAAGAGTATTTACTCTTCCTACAGTGACTAAACATGAAAATTCCTCAAGCAACTTCAATGTGACTCTAATTACCTCAGCAGCAATCTGATTTGGCATTTGGGATAATTCTGTAATTCATCCCAGGAAAAGTGTTTTAAATTATGTTAATTACTGTAACTCTTAAGATCAGTAGCACTGGCATGAAAATGGCTTCAGAGAAATGCTGTTTCAAGTTTGCCTTCACAAATCAAACTTTCACCTAATGTGTAATCAAGTTCATAGCATGCTTTAAGGTCCTTCATAACTATGAGCCATTCTACTTACGCTTTATGGTCAACCTGTTCAGAATTAACTGAGCTAAGAAAACACTGTAACAATCTTACTATACTTTGGACTTCAAATGTAGCTCCAAGCTCAGCTGACTTCACAGCTTTGACTATGTTCTTAGTCAGCAGGGCCAGAAAAACAATTTTCTCCCTTAACAGACATAAAAAATTAAGATAAAAGCTCCTCACTCCTTTTTGTTTTTGTGGTTTGTTTGTTTGTTTTGGTTTTTCGAGACAGGGTTTCTCTGTAGCTTTGGAGGCTGTGGCTTGTTTTTGGGTTTTCAAGACAGGGTTTCTCTATGTATTCCTGGCTGGCCTATAACTTGCTCTGTAGACCAGGTTGGCCTAGAACTCAGAGATCCCCATCTATGCCTCCCAAATGCTGGGATTAAAGTTGTACAACACCACAGCCCGATCCTCATTCCCTTTTATTACCACATTAGCTGTGTGATTCAACAAAGATGACCTTTGTTCAGCATTTAAAATTAGGTGATTAGAGCAGCAGAGACCCAAAGTTTTTGAAATCTTGTACACACGCCCAAACAGAGACACACATAATTGTAAATATAAATCTCACAAAAAAAGAAATGGGCTCCAAAATAAACACATCAGCAATTGTTAAAAAGGTAAAGAAGCAGTTTTATTTTAAAACAAATACCAATTAAATCAGCAAATAACTTTTATCAATGTAAATTCTTTGTAAATAGAAACTGAACACATGTATCAAATTGTACTTTCATTCACTGGCACAACACACTTCCAAAACAAGCTAATACAAATAAAAATACATGACTGTGTACAACACATGCAAACAGCAAGCCACCATTTTCCAAGACAATCATTTTTTGGCCAACACTTTCCAAGATCATAATTTTTACATAAATATACTGGCAAGTAGAGAAAATCAATGCACACACTTAGCATATACATACTAGACCGAAAGCACCATGTAAATATAACACTGGTGCTTACAGACGCATGAACGAAGTTTGGCCTGAAACAGGGATTATGCAACAATGTTGTGACTATGTGAGCAGTGAGACTGAGATTCACCAAATGCCTATGCTCTAAGCAAAAAAATGAAGAAACCAAACAGGAAGCCACACACCCTACTGCAACCCAGCTTCCTCTAAGGTGAAAATGTGAAGAGAACTCAGGAATGCCAATTACTTCAGCTAGAGTAAAACTGTACGAAAACAGACACGGGCTAGACATGTGAAACAAGCTAAATTCTTTTTGCTTTAAAGGCCCTGCTGCAGACTTGCTGCTCTGATTCATGGCTTTGAGAAGCAAAACTAAAGAAGTTGTTAATGGGTTCAGGTGCTGTGGGGGAATCCACAAAAAATGGTCTGAACTGAACATCTTCATCTCCACCACCTCGGCTTCCAACTGGTGTATGGTCCAAAGGAAACTTTGAGCTGTTCCCTGGGGGAGAAAATCAGGGAAGAATGTAAGAATATCTCCTAATAGCTCTTTAGAAACAAACTAATAGCTGCTAAATAAATATTTTAACAAAATTCAACTATGAGTGGATAAAATAATTATCTTAAGTTCATCTCCTATGATAAGATAAATACAGACCTAACCCAAGACCAAAGACTGTGTCACTCAGCTCCCCCCCAGGACAGAACATACTATGCCTTCTGTGAAAAATCAAACAGACTAGATAAACATCTAACTATTTCTACCAGACCCCTCCTTGGCTTTAATAGATTTCATTCAAGAGGAAAAAGCGGATTGTATCTGCCTAAAAGTAACAGAGGTCAAAAGCTAAGTACAGGGCTAGAGAGCAGCTCAGTGGTTAAGAGCAGTTGCTGCTCTTGCAGCAGACCCAGGCTTGGTTCCTAGCATTCACATCATGGGTCACAACCATCCAGTTCCATGGGATCCAACACCCTCTTATGGCCTCCATGGGCAGCACACAAGTAGTACACATACATAACACACACACACACACACACACACACAGGCAACAAATACACATAAAAAAAGAAATCTTTTTATAATGTACAAAAAGAATATAAGAACAACTACAAGAACAAGAAAAATATGTACAACATATTTTTGGAATGACTAAATTATTGTGCAATAATTATTTTATACATTGTGAAGATGTGTCTTTGCCAAGGCTCCTTCTGTTTGGTTTAATAAAGAGCTGAATGACCAATAGATAGGCAGGAAGAGGTTAGGCAGGACTTCTGGGCACAGAGAAAAGAAGAGGAAATGAATCTAGGCACAGGGGAAACACCAGAAGAAACAGGAAGTACAAGATGGAAGAGAGGTAAAAAGCCACAAGGCAAAACATATATATATATATATTTTTTTTTTTTTTTTTGAGACACGTTTTCTCTGTGTAGCTTTGGAGCCTGTCCTGGCACTCGCTCTGTAGACCAGGCTGGCCTCGAACTCAGAGATCTGCCTGCCTCTGCCTCCCAAGTGTTGGGATTTTTAAAGGCCACCAACACCCGACTCCAAAACATAGATTAATATAATTGGGTTAATTTAAGTTATAAGAGTTAGTGGGACAAGCCTAAGGTATTGGCCAAGCTTTCATAATTAATAATAAGCATCCATGTCATTATTTGAGAGCTGATTGTACAGAGAAAGACTTGCTACAGTAAATTGATATTTATAAATATGAAGCAGGCAGAAAACTATTTTTAGACTGGCTCTCACTCTAATACTGACACTAGTTTGTAGGCCAATTGGTCTCAAACTTACAGCAATCCACCTGCCTCAACCTCCTGAGTAAACCTCCTAGGATTAAAGGCATACACCACCATGCCAGGCAGGAGCCTTCCTTATTTATTTGTCTTTTTTCCAGACAGGATCTCACTATGTAGCTTTGGCTGTCCTGGAACTCAGAGATCCATCTGCCCCTACCCCTGCCTCTGCCTCTGCACCTGCCCCTGCACCTGCCCCTGCCCCTGACTTTCATGGGCAGGACTAAAGGCTTGTACCACTAGACCCAGCCACATAGCATTTTGTTTGCCTGTTCTTATCACCTCATTCCCATTCTAGAACATCATTTTCTCTCACTGAACCTTTTCCCTTAGCCTATAATAAATGCCAAAATTTGAGTACCTGGAAAAGTCTATCACAAGAGACTTCAATGATTGTATGCCAATTTATACAATTATATTAATACTGAGGGAAAAACTACTGGGTTCTGTTGCACTGGTGTAATAAAGGGAAGAACT